TTAGCCTCTCTTCATATGGGACCTGTTCCAAACCCGATATTGTAGTTGCCCTCCCCTCTCCCACCTCCTTTTCCCACTCTCCCCAAGTTCAATAAAGAGAGTTTCTATTTTTGAACACACGTGTCCTTTATTTTGTACATCAGGAAGGGGGCCTAGGGAGGGGTAAGTGGAAGGAGGTGAGGGAGGAATGGGGTACGAGCCCCCGATGAGGAGGACTGGGGTGGCTCTGCGGGCTTCTCGGGGTGGAAGCTCTCCTGAAGCCCCTCGATTGACCCCCCCTCCCCCCTCCGGATGGCAGCCTGCGGCAAGTGCAGCCAGGCTGATGGCCAAGTGCTGTGATGTGCCGAGTGTGGGCACTCAGGGCACTCCAAGCCAGGACTGCTTTGCAAGCGGGGAACCCCTGAGAACTGTCTGTCCGGGGTGGGGGTCGGGTCCCTTTAAGCACAGCCCTTGGCTAGCCTGAGGCAGCAGCTCCACACTCTAAGTCCTAATCTGATGCCCTGCCGGCACTGCTTCCGGCCATCCTTAACCTTAGTTCAGCGTCCACTCAGTGTGGACATGCTAGTTTGAATTAGCAAAACGCTAATTCGAACTAATTTTTTAGTCTAGATGCACTAGTTCGAATTAGCTTAGTTCGAATTAGTGTTGAAGTGTAGACATACCCTTCGATTCTGCTGTTTTGTTATTTTTTAAGTTTGGTAAGTCAAAATTAATTTGCAGATTTAAAATCTGTTAATATGCAGTGGCTAGAGGCCATTAAACTCAGAACTCAGGCTGATGTAATTATTTCTCAGCTTCTAGGAGGTGGCTAACTGCTCCCCAAAATAGATTTATACCATAGATTTCCTGGGAACATTGTGATCATCCGGTCTGAATTCATCCAGGCCATAGGACTTCCATCTTTTAATTCCTGCTTCATTTTCAATAGCTCTAGTTACACAACAGCTTTTTAAAAAAAAAATTCCAGATTTAATTTAAAAACTGCCACTAACAGCAAATCTACCGTGGCTAACTGCTCCCCAAAATAGATTTATACCATAGATTTCCTGGGAACATTGTGATCATCCGGTCTGAATTCATCCAGGCCATAGGACTTCCATCTTTTAATTCCTGCTTCATTTTCAATAGCTCTAGTTACACAACAGCTTTTTAAAAAAAAAATTCCAGATTTAATTTAAAAACTGCCACTAACAGCAAATCTACCATAATGGATATTCCAATGAGGAATTAGTCTTACTGTTCACAATTTTGCACCTTATTTCCTGTCTAAATTTATCTAACACCTACAGACAATGGATCTTATTATACCTTTGTCTTGCAGAATGAAGAGAACTCTCATGAAATTTCTATCTCCTTTTAAGAACTAATAGGCTGTCATCGAGTGATCTCTTTAATCTTTTCTTCGATAAAGAGCTCAGTCTGTATAGCTTAAGTCTTTAGGATTTTTTTTCAATCCCTAGCTCATTCTCATAGTTCTTCTCAGAACTCTCTGCAATTTATCAACATCTTTCCTGAACAGGGAACACCATAATGGGATTCAGTGCTCAAGCAGCAATACAATACTATTACTTTCTACTCCTACTCGACAATTCCCCTATTCATAAATCCAAAGATCATATTGTCCCTTTTGGCCACACGGGGAGCTTATGTTCAGCTAATTATCAGTGGCACTGTTTCCCAGGATACAATCAGCCATCCTGTTAGGGTGTCCTACATTCTTTGCTCCTAGATGTATGTCTTTATATGTGGCTAAACTGCAATGCATTTTGTTTGCATGTGCTCAGTTTACCAAGCAATCTGTATTGTTCCCTCTCAGTGATCTGTGCTCTTCATTATTTACCACTCACCCAATATTTGTGTCATCTGCCAACTTTTACCAGTGATTATTATGTTTGTTTCCAAGTGATTGGTTAAAAATTTTAGCTAAAAACTGAGCCCCTAAGTTGCTCAATTATGACTTCTTGTTTTCAATTTAATTTTGAGACCTATCATTTTAACCATTTTTAATCAATTAACAGATACCATGCTGATTTGGCATCAATCTAATTTATTAATGCAGATGACGTGTGGTACCAAGTCAAATGTCTTACAGAGAGGTATATTAATTCAACACTATTACTTTTATTAACCATACTCATCAAAAAGTGATATAGTTTGACAACTTGTTTTCCATAATCCCATATTGATTAGCATTCATTATATCATCCTCCTTTAATTCTTTATTGAGTTCCATATATTTCCATTATTTTGCTTGGGATTAATGATAGGCTAACAGGCCTTCTGTGAGATGGGTCATTCTGCTTGTCCTTTTAAAATATTGGCAAAACATTAATTTTCATTCATTCCTCTGAAGATTCATCATTGTTCAAAAGTTAATTGAAAATTTGCATAACTGATCCAGAGAACTCCTTAGTCAGTTCTTTTATAAATTTTAGGTACAGTTTATGTGGATCTGCTGATTTTTAAAGATGTCTGACTTTAGATAGCTACTGTTTAATATCACCCTTTGTTACTGTAATTGGAAAATATATAATCATAAAATATTAATAGATCATGTTTTTTCTCAAAATACAGAACAGAAATATTGAACATTTTTGTCTGTAATATTTACCATATACATATAGTAATGAGCCAGTACCTAGAACTATTAAGATTCCTTTTGTTATATAATTTAAAAACCCTTTTTATTTGACTAAACTGCTCACAGATTTCTCTTATGTCTTTCTCCTGAGAGTCACTCATGGCAAAATTACCAAATTACATACCAAATAGTAAATTACATTGTTGCTCTTTATTACAGCCTCCATTCATCTTTTGTAAGAATAATGGCCATCTGTGAGGTCCCCAAAGTTTGGTAATTTTAAGAGGTAGCTGCTGTCTTCCAATAATTCATAAATAAAGTAGAATATGTAGGCAGCAAACAGTGTCTACTATTGATCATGCTAGAAAACATCAACTTCTATAATGCTCACCAGCTCCAGAGAGTTACATTCTTGATTAAAGTACCAGTCATTTGACTAATTCATGATCCTTCCCCTTTAAAATTTTAGATCACATAGACCCAGCTAACATCCTTACTGTATATATAGCGAGATGAACCCACTCTTACAACATTATGTGTATCATTGACATGTATCCAGATAAATTCAGATTAGAGTATAAATGCCTTAAGCCCTATTAACATTGTCAGGCTAAAACACAGTAACTGGCATTGCATAAGTTCAATGTGGATGAAATCCCCGCCTGTGCATAAAGAAGAGCCCTATTTTGAGGCCCACATGATTGCATACTATGAAGAAATTGACATCCTTGATTTCACTATGCCATTCATGTTGGAGCCAGGATAGTGAGTTGGATGGACCACCATCTGATGCACTATGTTTGTACAGTGGGCACAGTTTGAGTGGAACAATATATCCATAATGTGTGATTTTTTTCTTTAAAATAATTTGATTACAATTCCATCATTAAAGTGAAACAAAATATGATCAGTTTCCACATTTGATACCCACTGATTCACTGGAGTCTAAGGACAAAATTTTGATAGGCTTCTCTTTCACATTCCCATGAATGGTGTTTCTTCACATATGCTTTTGCCTGTGTCACAATTTCTCTTTCCAAAGAAGGGTCATTCATCAGACTTTTGGAGAGGTGGACAAACTCCTAAAAAGTTAAAGAAAACATAAATGTTACTTGAGCATCTACTTACCCTGAAATAATCTTGAAACTGAAGCAAAGCAGTTGAGTTTAGAGTGAATGCACCCACTGAGCAGTTCAAGAGCCATTCCTCAGAGTCAAGTACCATATTTTATATGTAAGTACAACTCCATAAATAACAAATACAATTTTTTAAATCTTTTATACAGCCCACTGATGAAAGAACTTAAACCATGGCCAAATCCCTAGAGTGCTAAATCAGACAAAATATGGACAAACAATTTAATGAGACAGAAAAGTGTTTGAACACCAGATACTTCCAGCAATGAAGCATGCCATAGCTGGGTAAGAAGTTACAAATTCAACTAGTTTGCTGGATGAAGGAGAGGTGGTAGCAGACAGTTTTGATCTAGGCTCAACTAGGCATATGCCTGGTTGCTAATGAGGCATCTTTAGGTAATTGCATGCTCTTAATGAGGTCAAGAAAAACACTTCACAAAGATGTCTATAGTATAAAGTAAAGAACACACACTCAGCAACAAATTATCTGTATTGTGCCAGGGCATAGATGCAAGATTGATCCAAGCTAATAAAGAAGAGCTGCACTGTGTGATGCTGGAAGCTAATGACCTGGAATCTAGGCAGCATCTGGCACATAATATCAAACAGCCTGCAAAATGCAGTATATCAAATCCTTTTAGCCATATGAGACAAGTTACTGAAACTGATAGAACAAGACTTCTTTGGCCAATGCTCTGCCATTCCAGTTTTGGTTTTAGGAAGTGTAGGTACCAAACTAATGAATATGAGAGCTCATGTCACAGTTGGAGGCCTCTAAGTAAACAAATGCACTTTTGCATTGTCTGTCTGATTTTCTGCCATCACAGGACGACTTTCAACATTGAAGCTAGATTGCAGAAGTACCTCAAAACCAGTATAGCAATGTGCACTAGTTCAGAAAGGTCAGCACTGGTAGGATCAATATAAAGTGAAGATCATTAGTTACTACACAAATGATGATAAAAATCAGTAATAGACTCCAAGTGGAGTAATAATAGCATTTAGACATGGATGGCATTTTCCTGACAATAAGCTGTCAACTATTAAAGGGAAAATCACTGAGGCCCTCCAGCAAAGAGCTGAAAATACATATTTGATCAACAATTCCTTCATTAGCCAACTCTACTTAAACTCACCCACAAAAAATGGTTATCAAAGAGCTACGGTTGCTGATGTAATTTATATGGTCAATGTGCAAAATATACAACTTCAGCATTACCACTGGGAACCGATGCTGAGATATGAAATAATACTGCACATGTTCCAATCACAGCCTTTGATGCTCATTGAGAAGACATGCACATGTTTTTAACATATGGAGCACTGTGGCATGTAGTTTACATAGCCAAAGAAGCATGTATATTAGTGGTGCATATCATAGAATAATAGAAGATTAGGGTTGGAAGAGACCATCTGGGTCATCTAGTCCAACTCTTTGTACAAAGCAGGACCAACCCCAACTAAATCAGTGGGCAGAGGGCTGCTCCAGCCCTAATGGGCCCCTATATGGGACCAGGAACCCTGGCAGCCCTCTGGGGCTGGAAGCTATGGCAGCCCCGGGAACAGTTAACCATGTAACCAATAGAATTTTTATCTGTTACATGGTTAATTTTTTTTTTATTTTTTACATTCTTAATAATAGACTAAATAAGATGAATTCTCACATGTCAATTTTGTCATTACTGTATATATCCAGTTAGAGTATGGCGTCAATCTTGCATGCTGAGTCACATGGGATGATTGCTATGCTTCGATAGTGCAAACTGGGCCCAGCAATGACAGCAGAAAATGTGTGTATGTCACTTTAGCTGGCCATTACAAGTATTTTCCAACCTTCTGGAATTTTTCAATAGCCATGTCTTGGTTATGTGGTTAATATAAAGTTTACATGAATCACATTAGCAGCTGTAATTCTAAATTAAATGCCCACAAATAACTTTAATTTTTAAAAATATTACCTCTGAAAATGTAACCTGGGTTTGTAGGATGAGGCTTTGCCTGCTGATTACATAATAATACTTACCTCGTCAGGCTACTTGGAAACATTATGTTATAAGTATATAAAGCTTTCTATAGCACCAGCATCTCTCCTTCTACATGCCCCTAAAGGTTACACAAAAGAGCTAAAGAAGAGCTTCCCTACTTGCGGGGTTGGGGGGACTGCATTACTAAGGCTCTCATCCTATAATGACACACAGGAGGGCACTGCACAACTTGAAGATGAGTTCCTCTTCTGCATAAATGCTAAAGATTCATTTGAGGAATTCTTTGTACATTTTTCCTCTGCTCAACATTCTAAAACAGAATGACTAGAGCTTTGCCCCGATACAAAATTTGTATCCACATCCACACACAAAAAAGTGTGGATATAAACCAGATATCTGCATATTTACAGGGATTTAAAAACGACCACTTGTGGAAAAAGTATCTGATTAATTCACAATGGAGCCCTTCATGAACTCAAAGATTCCTACTGATGTGTTCATTTCTTGTAATAGCTGTAGTTGTGAAATCTCTGAAAGGAATAAATCTTCCTGAAAAATGCTTTCAAAATTAGAGAATTTATTCTCTTAAGAGGTTCGAATCAGAAGTGGAGATTAACAAATTAAGAGCTATAATCATAATATTATATTAGAGGCATTTAATATATTCTCTTGTAAACCTTCGCCACTTTCCCCATTTTCTGTTGCAGTAGACAGCACCCACATTCTCAGTCACCCAGGATTGTAACCATCTGACTCCTCTTTTTTTTTTCTTCTCCCACCATCTCCAAATCCAGCTGCCTTTTTCCCCCTTCAAAACACACAATAAAAATCTGATCTTTCTTGCTCATGTTGTCCATGCCCATAGCCACTCCCATATTGACTACTGCAATTTACAACATTCCAGCTTCCAGGACATGCACATTGCCTATATCAACCCATCCAAAACATGACTGCAAAGATTATTTTCCTTGCTTACTGACCTGATCATGTCAGAGCACCCCCCCCCACACACACACACTACACCACACACTTCCCCCTTGCATTCATCTGATGGCAACCCTTAAAATAACAGAGTTCTAACTTCACATTCTCCCCTGCAAAGCATGGCATAATCTGAACCAGCTCTCAAGACTTGTCTCTTGTTGCATTCTCAATTGTTTTTTTCTGTTCTCCCAGTGAGTCTATTCTTAATACTTCATTTCCTTTTTCCACATCCCATCTCTGTGCTCTTTTCCATACTGCCAAGAACACACAGCACCAGGATAAGTGGGGAAAACCTTTAAATGCCTTCTAGTTAGATCGAATCTCTTATGTGATCATAATAAATAATAATTTTCACTCCACTGCATTCCAACTTTAATGTTATGCTCCTGTAGAGGATTTTATTTTGTTTAAAAATAATTTATGTAAATTATACATATCAGAAGCTGCAATGTACCATTGCTTGCTGAGTTGTTCTATTAATATGTGGCTAGAGAGGATAAAAACTTGGAAACGTTGTAAATGATAGAAGCAATGAGACACTGCTACAGTGCTAAACTGCCTTTTGCTGCTGATAATTTCAGCATAATATTAAACACAAGTCCAAAGAGGAAAGGGGAAGCAAAGGCAGGAGGGAAAAACAGCAAATGGATAAAGCCAGGGGACTTTAGTTATAGCTGTTGTACTGACTCAGAGTGCAGCTTCAGGCAAGTCACTCATGGTGTGACCTGAAGCTATGGTAAAGATCGGCTTTCATGATGCTGGGTTTTGGACCAGGCTCCTGGAGCATCTAATTTAGAGTCTCTCCATTTTTGGATGCTCAGTAAGGGCCTGATACTCACGTGTTCTTCTGCAACTCCCCCTGACATCTTCTGGAGCTGCAATTGTTTGGCATCTTTGAAAGTCAGGCCCCAGGTTGCTGAATCTGAGCATCCAAAAAATGAGGCACTTGTAATTAGATGCCACTTCTGAAAATGAAGACCTTAATTTCTATCTACCAAAATAAACCCATGGAAATGTGGGTAAAACAACAATTACCTACCTCATAAATGATATGTGTGTATAGGGTGAAGACTTACTTATCAGTTGAACAAAAATATTGGGGCAAACACTAGGCTGCTTAGTTTTATAAGTAATGTGATGCATGCCCTGTTTCTGGACAGTCAGTATCCCCCTAGGTAATAGTTATCTTCAAAAATGATGTCACTGATATGTTTCTCCCTCAGGCAGATTGCCAAATTAGCTTTCAAGAAAATGCAACAGTACATATCAAATCATTCAGTACCAAATTTTGCAAACATCCCTACAGACCCAGATGTTTTGGAAAGAGGAGCCCTGAAAACACAGCAAATACCAAGCTAAAATCTGTAATTAAACCATTTCAGACTCGGCTGCAGGAGAGGAAAGGGACATGGAATTTAAATAGATCAGTATAAACCCAGGCAAGACAATTTCCAGATATAAAGCTAAATTAACAGTTATAAATAGCAATGCACCTACTAGTAATGGAAAAGTGCAGCAGTTGCAGGACAACAGACTGGTAATTCCCAATCATGTTAGGAAAGACAGAAAATATGGCAAAAGACCACCTTGGCTTAACCATAAGATCTTGCATGGTCTAAAAATAAAAAGGGAGTCATATAAAAATGGAAAGTAGGACAAATTACAAAGGATGAATATAGGCAAACAACACAGGAATGCAGGGGCAAGATTAGAAAGGCAAAGGCACAACATGAGCTCAAACTAGTTTTGGGAATAAAGGGAAACAAGAAGACTTTTTATAAATACATTAGAAGAAAGAGGAAGACCAAGGACAGAGTAGGTCCACTGGTCAGTGAGGAGGGAGAAACAGTAACAGGAAACTTGGAAATGGCAGAGATGTTTAATGACTTCTTTGTTTTGGTCTTCACCAAGAAGTCTGAAGGAATACCTAACACAGTGAATGCTAGTGGGAAGGGGGTAGGTTTAGAAGATAAAATT